GAACGGAAAGGTAACAATTATTGACGTGTAACGCGTGGAACTTCTGTTGCTCGATTGCAGTGCACTTTTTATGCGCATGAATAACTATGTTAATTCGCGTAACACGTTCCAAGTGAGAGAAGGCTCGAACCTGCTCTCGTTTTCTTCCTCCCTCTACAAAGACAGTTGTCGTTGATTTGCATGTAAGATTCGTAATCATTGTGCAGCGTTTTTCATACTGCTGTGTGCCATTTGTATGTTAATTAGAATCGGAAATTCGGTGTTAAATGAGTAATTGTTTATCGTTTAATATTTGAACAACTATGAATTTTCCACGTTTTTTTACGTATTTAATACTAGATACGAAGGCAGTGTGCAATCAGCTACTTTCAAACGCAGTTCCATGGTTAAATAGACGCGTAACCAAACCGCGAAACCATATGAATAGTTTGGAGAACAGTTCGAAAAGCAAATAGTCGTATTTAACGTGACAGACGTTGATCGCTGTTTAATCGAACAATTGTTTTCCAACTGCTATCAATGACAGAAGCCAGCGCAATGAGCAAACAGTATCAATTTTAGAATGAAAATTAAAACGGACAGAAGAAGTGGATCGCAGATAGGAATTAAAATTACCGCTTCCGTAATGCTAGTTAATGTGTGCTTTTATGTCGCAGGCGTTACTTAAACGCTCCGATTTCGAGCATGAGAAATATTGAATTGTGTATTGTCCATTAAATAGATTAAATTTAATTTTATCGAGGAATATACGAAACGAGAAGTGCGCTGCATAAAGTTAAATATTTTATTTCGTTTCCAAATAATTGGAGCATATTTACGTAACATATTTTCCTAACAGCAGATCGCACCAAATAAACCTCTATGTAAAAGCATATTAATAGTAGCGAACGTTGCGAGAGAAGGCAAACATTATCATTCCACGCTACTTTCTGATCTAAAATGAGGAAACACGCATGTGAGCAGCAGCGATTTCAAATTGCTGGAATTGCACTTCTCTATTTCTCTGCACAGAAGTGGGAAAACACTATTATTTCACATTCCCTTGTGATCTAAAATGAGGAAACGTCATTCTTGAGCACCAGCAATTTCAAATTGCTGGAATTGCAATTTTCTATATCTCACAAAATATGAAAAACACTATCATTCCACATTCCCTTGCGATATAAAACGAGGAAACACCTTTCTTGAACACCGGCAACTCCAAATTGCTGGAATTGCAACTTTCTATATCTCACAAGAGAGAAAACACTATCGTTCCACATTCCTTTGCGATTAAAAATGAGGGAACACATACTTCAAGCATCAGCAATTTCAAATTGCTGGAATTGCACCTTTCTATTTCTCACACGAGAGAGGAAACACTGTCATTCCACATTCTTTTGTGATCTAAAATGTGAAAGCACTTTTCTTGAGCATCGAGCGATTTCGAATTGCTGTAATTGCATATTTCTGTATCGCAGGTCGCAGAAATTTTAATTCGCCCGAGTGTACTATCAGCCACACGGCTGACATTCCGACTATCTCGATTATTTACAATGCTTTAGCACCGGAATAATGGCGGCATCGCGCGATAAAGGTTAATGTACACTTCCTTATGCGACCACGGCAAATAATTAATAAAACGCGACTACGTAACGTGTTAATTAAAATTTACAAACGCCAACTGCTACCCTCCTTTCTTTTTTCAAGGAGCACTCCGTTTTATATACTCGCGGGCTAAATGGAACTATACACTTACCACGCTGATGTTGCCTTCGAGCACTTAGGTTTCTTGCGTTTCCGCTGGATTATACAAAAGTACTCTCTCGCAGAGCAATGCTCGCGATATCGAATTATTAAACGCGTAATAAATAGAGCTATTGGATGGAAGACTTAGTCTAGGGAACCCAAATGTAGCTTTCATGAATTTTCAAAAAATGTACCTCGTACAAATTGTCACTTTTCGTGGAAAAAAATGGACAGAATGTAACTATCGTGGAGGGAATAGCAAAAAATTATTCTCTAGATAAATTTCAGTCTGAAATGAAGACTGTAAGAAAATTTCAAAGAATTCGATCCTCAGAATAATCTGAGCGCATTTCACATTCCATTGTGAATTTGCATAATTCGAATCGCACATTCCTCGAATATGAAACTTTTTGTGTAACATTCATTGATATTTCTTCTATAAATTCGTCGTTCTTCTTACAAGAAAATTAATGTTTCTTTCAACATTTTCACGTTCACACACTCAGAGGACTTCAAAGTGGGAAAAAAGCGCAAATTCCGATTTCATTTACGCTCCAGATCACAATCTCAATCACAGCTGTATAATTAGCCTCTGTTATTAGATTGAAAGTACAGATTTATGGCTGCCCGTTACTATGTAACCCGTAAAGTATCGATCACTCTCAGAAATGAATTTCATGAATGTATAATCAGGATAGAAATATGTAAATAACGTACAACGTTTTTCGAATTTCATATTAAAACAAATTGCAAGATTACAGAGCGCGAAAATTGCTTCTCGTTAATATCCGGTTCATTTTAAACATTCCTCATTCCCGCCCATAAATTATCTTCCCCCTTGGAAAAAAAATAAAACCAGAGAAAAAGGTATTCAGAAACAAAGGTAATGCGTCACGCGGGGACCGAAAATAAATCAAGTTGGAATCCTTTGAAGACATTCCAAAAGGGACAATTTTTCCAGATCCAAAGAAACTCCCTCTGGCAATTGAATTCGACGATTAATGAACACACACACACACACACACACAGTTGAAAGTCTCGCGATATAGCTTTCCTGCTTGCTGCCGTCCGCCGAATCAATATCGCGTAACCTTAATTAATTAGCACGGTGGTCAGTCGATACATTTTTGCGAGAGAACGCTTATGTACGATGGAATTTACAATCGTAGAAAAAAAAGTTACAACGAAATTCTTATTTAAAAGAAAAAAAAACAAATGCACAACAAAAATTAGCGAGGAATTTGATAATTAGCACAGATTGGTAGATAATTTTATGGAACAGATTTGAAATTCTAACAAGTTGTTTTTCCACGTTCCGGACGTTTTCTAGAGTAATTAGAATAATCCGCGACTCTTTCTGTATCTTTCGTAATTAATGGGATGAGAAACTGACGATAAAGATCTCTCGTTAACGAGTGGCTTATATCACATCTCGATTTGTACGGAAACTAATACAAGTGTGTCCGCGCCTATAAACGCAACAGAAGGACTGAAACGTGTAATTATCACAATTCCCTGGAGACGGCTCTGTTATTAGAATTAATAGTTTAACCAGTTGCCGTTGATGCGATTAATATTGTATTTGCACAATTTTACCGTTATGTAAGTTGTAAAATAAACATCATTCGTGAAAAAGGACAACAGAAGTGTCTTTTATTTTTCAATTGATCGACACAAATTGGCCTTGCAACGTTCGTTTAGATTTTATCCCGATAACAGCGTGGATTGTTCAACTGTAAAAAGAGGAAATTATAACGGGCACTTTGCCGACTCGTTAGCAGGGGCGTAATGATGGAGGAAATCAATTTTAACCGTCAAAGCCACGGGTAATCGGATTCGAGCGCAAATAAACAATTAGGAATTGATACTGCTCTCTTGAGACGCGTACTGTTCCACGGAGTGTACGTTAGTGAATGTGATACGCGAGCATTGGGCATTCAATATTTTCATTCACATGGAATACCTAGGGAGCTGTGATTCGTGAATGTTCGACGAATGTGACTTTTGGAAATTTTCGAATCTTGCAAAATGGGGAAAAATACTTTGACGATGTGAAGATTTGAAATGTTTTTTAACGCAGTTGGAAAGGAATTTTTGGTAATTTCGTTCGTGTCGTAGTTTTCTCGATTCGATTCCAGAAACGTACTCTCAATTTTTTACACTTCCATATTTTCAAATGTTCCTTAAGCCTATCCCCGAAGTGCGAAATTTATTTTACAGGTGCCTTTCGTTTTCCATGCAAATTCGTGCCATATACGGTGTCGAAACCGCGTTAGAGAAAGTCGTATAGAAAAATTTATTTAAAAAAGTTTGGACTCACTTGTTACTGAGTTTATCAGTCTCTCTACCGATTTCGCTGTTAAATTAATCGCTATTCATTTATCATTCGCGATTTTAACGTAAAGTTGACAATTCTTGGTGAAGTCTTTTGTGGTTCCAAACTTTTCATCAACGATATATGTATATATAGTAATAATGCTCTAATTAGTAAAGTATCTAAAATAGAAATTCTGAAAGAAGACAACAACTATGTTGAAATGTATAATCTACTTATGCAATTCAGTTTGCCTAACGGAAAACATTGTTATTTCGAAGAACCTTTCTGGGAATATTGAATTCGAAAAGTTCCAATCTCCCAAATTTGATTAATAATTTATATATCCATCAGAAATACCCTGACACAGAGGTGAAGTATTAAAAACTATTTCTAAGGATCTTTCTAGGAATACTAAATTTGGAAAGCCCCAAAATTTCTGAAATCTTGAAAATTGTATCAATAATTTACATAATTATGAAAATTACCCTGAAACACAGGTAAAGCATTAAAAATACCCCCAATAAGAAATTATTTCTAAGGATCTCTCTAGGAATATTAAATTCGAAAAAGTCCAAAATTGCTGAAATCTCGAAAATACGATTAATAATTAATATAATCATGAAAATTACCCTGAAACACAGGTAAAATATTAATAATACCCTTAATTCAAGTTAGACCCCCGACGAAGCGACCTAATCCCCTCCTTGAGCAGCGTTTTCCTCGTATCCGCGAGGAAACGCGAAAAAATCGCGGATCAATGCCAAGAGATGTAAGAATCGAGTGTGTGGTTGGAATACAGATAGATATGCCCGCCTCGATAAGCATCGAAATCCCTACTCAAACAGTTGCAATCCGTGTGCTGTTCTCGCACGGAGAAAAGATGCTGAGGTGGGGCGGAACAGGATGAAGGTTTGACCGCGAGGTTTCGTGTTCGATCAGTGTTATTTCATTCGTTGTTCACCTACGAACGATTCGTGTCTCGATCTCGGTCCCGAGAGGGAAAAAAAAAGAAGAAAGAAAAAACGAAAAGAACTCTCGAGACTTTCTCGGTGTGATCGTTCGACGTTCCAAGAATATCGCCCAGTTTTCGCGAAGGTGAGATTCGGGTTCGCAAACGGAATCACCCGAAAAAAGGCAAACGAAACGAGAATCGTGTGCGGCGTGCATACTTGTGCATCGTAATATCGAATTATATCGCGAAACGAAATTCATCCAAGTGTGGAAGAATTTTATCGCGCTCGGAATATTCAAATTGCAAAATTCCGTAACGGAATGAATTTCATTTCTCACTGCCGTCAATTTCCACGGGTTTCATCCGAAATGTAATTTCGAAAAATATTGAAATTACCCACTGCGTCGTCCCTTCCATGATTTCCCTCGTAATTGACAAACTAGATTATTAAACGTAATTTTGTAGCGCGATTCTATGAGAACGGACAGAACGCAATTTGGAATATTAAAAAATATGAATTCTCCATTTTTCATATATTCATACTTGTCTAAATTGAACCGGATACATTTCAGTTTCGAACGTCAAACATGTATTACAATTATAAACCCTTTTTTTTTCAAATAAAACGTGATCGTTCAAACAGCATACAGTTTCAAAAATTACTAATTCAACACTATACGTAAGTACGAATTCCTTAAATTATCTTTTTCAACGAAACCTGATAAGTATACTTCGCGATGCGATTATTTCGTAACTAAGAGAACGCACACCTAACAATTAAAGCTATATTACACACAAATATCAGTTTTTTCCTCCTTCTAAAAACGAATCCTAACAGGTTGCACGCTAGAATTCTTTCGTAATTATGATTACTCATAATGTGCACATATTATGTATGCCTCGATTCATCATTCCTAACTCACGGATCCTCGCGATCGTGTAAGTACCTGTTTCACCGCTGTTGTCATTACTGTTTCCTCGTGACGCCGCGACCGCACGTTAATTACGTATCAGAATCCGTGTCAGCGACAGTACTCTGTCCTGCTAAACGTCGAATTCTCTCGTTTCCAATCGTCGTCGGGACAGCAACCTGCGTCGTTCACATTTCTCAGGAGCAAAAAATGATCGGCAAAATTGTAGCAGTCGCCGCTGCGTAGGTCAATCAGATGAATTCGTCACCGGGGAAATAGTCGAAAGAAATTTCAAACGCTAGTGATATTTTCCTGCATCTACTTGCAATTCTCCCGTCGATTCCCACCGACCGACCGTCGCGTTTCCCTTTGGGGACAACGTTGAAACGTAAAGGCAAACGGGGAGGGGAAAGAAAAGAACGACGCGAAACACGAGAATTAAAAAGTTTCACCGTGCGAAATGGAACGTGGTGGCGGCGATAAATTGATCAAACACGAGAATGAAAAAGTTCCGCGGAAGTGAGAGCGGGGCAAGGTTTGAAACGGGTTAATTATTCGGAGAAATGATCAGCCGGGCCAAGTTTAAGACGGTGAATCGAAGCTCAATTGACTCCGGCGGAGTCTGATTAAAACGGCGGTAACAGGAAAGTAATTAGATGATCGCGGTGGGAAACGTTGCGACTTCTCGGTGAAAGTAGCCGTGAAACGGCGCTGCAAGGATCGTCCGGTTAATTTATACCAATCGCATTAATGGACAAAACGGGGAGAGAGGAAAAAGGAAGAAGTATTGAAACTGCCGTGAAACACTCCGACGCATTTCTCACGGGAGTGGATTTAAATCTTTGTTTACTGTTAATTGAAATCTCCGAAATTCCAGGACCTATCTCTCTTTATCTCTGGTCGAGGCTCGGATTAAAGCATAAATTTCGGTGTTCGTGCTTTTACACGAAGGTGTTCCCGCAACGCCTCGTTGCGATTACAAACTTCCAAACGTCGCGACACAAAAATGAATTCGGGAAACAAGTGGAAACTGTTCAAGTCCTTGCTTCCAGAAATATTCTGGTAATCGTCGGACAAATTAACCCGAAATTCCATCGACAGGCGTTTCAATTTAACGCTTCGGCTCTTCTTCTTTCATCTCGACAGCAAGAAGTTGTTTCGTTCTCTTGTTTTTGTCGCTTTCCTTTTGGAATTGCGAAGGAAATCGCGGACCGAGTAATTACATTTGGTAATTATAGGGAATGTAGACTATTTCTCGGCCAATTTCGCGCTACTTTGAGCGTAATGTTTAAATTAACGCGTCGATAGAAACGACCAAACGTGATGGCTGTGCAAATGCACGTGAAATGCTGCATGAAACTTGGATCAAAGAAGTGAAGTCACCGAACGGTGCATCATTCCTCCAAGGAGATTCCTGTGAGAACGTAGAAGTGGTCGAGGCGAGTTTCCAATGATACGAAATTTCCCATTTAGACACGCGAGTGATCCACGTCGTCCACCGTAAATAGAATTCTTCTTTAGTCGTCACGTGTTCAATGGTCATTTTTCTCCGCGGCGAAACGACGGTTTCGGCGGCGGGTCGTTAGTCGGAAATAATTAGGCGGAACCCCTCTGGATGAAGCGATTTAGCAACGTCGACGTTTCTATTTCTGTCGGGGGCAATAGATATACATCTCCGGCGAATTCTTTCGGTTAATTGATGTTGCGAGTAACGCTTGTATTCCAGTTTTCCTTTTTATCAGATTTTCTTTTGTTGCTCAACTTCGAAGCAAGAAAGCGTGAATTCATATTGTTTGCGAAAAGAAGAATTAACTCAACGAATACACTGTATTTTTGCACACTTTTTTTTAAATCTTCTGCTAATGGAAAACATAGTTGTGAAAAATTCGCAAAGAGTATTTATTCCGGAAATGTGAAAAATTCGCAAAGAGTATTTATTCCGGAATTGATTCTCTCGAATTAAGCCTAAACACAAAGGAGCGAAGATAAAAAGAGCGTTCACAGAAGAATTTTTATAATTCTCACGCGAAAAATTCTCGGAAATGATTTCCTTCTTAAAAGTATCTCAGGGAAACAAGGGTGAGAAAAATACGCGTGGAAATACTGTGCATTTGACTGTTTAATTACGAAACAAGTGTCTGTCGAGGAAAAACTAGGAGGAAACAGTCCCGGAAAAATCCGAGAAATTTCATTAAAAGTAAATTCGTTCAATTACAACGTCTGCAACGAGGTAAACGTGAGTTCTGAATACGAAAAAGTTCCTCCACTCTGGTCTACTGGATAAAATCGACGATAAATCAAAGCGGTAGATCGTGAAATCAACGATATTTCCGCGACTCTACGCATGAATCAAGCATTATTCCATTTAAACGTTCAACACCTTACGCCGATTTCACAATACCGTCTGTACGATTCGTAGTAACCGGTTGCGACACTTTAATTGCAAGATCGTATCACAGTTAGATGGTTTTCTGAGGTGTGTGCCGATGGAATTGGAAGTGTATCCAGTTCCAGAACGGACCACGTGAAAGGAGCAAGGATACCGATCTTCAAGGACGCGTATCGTTCGCCTGCCTGTGTGTGTAGAACAATCGTACGTCGTGATATTAATCAGACACGGTCGATACGATGATCTACGCGCGTTTGAACTCGCTGGCGGATTCGATATTATCTAACGTCGAACAATTTACCTGGCAATTTTACGCAAAAAACTGTAGTGTTTTTACCTCGGCGATTCGTTTCGATTGTCAATCTTCATTGTACCAGTTTGCTTCATAAATCCAACGTTTACGAAGCATCGTTATCTTAATGGACAGCCAGTTCGATTATGTTTAAACGGGGAAAAAAAACAACTCGTCCACGTTGCTTTACTTCGCGTCAGATAAGCGACGTTCATTGCCTCGACTGTTCTTTCGCGTTCGATTATTTCTGCTTCGTTAGATAGACTAATTTTCGTGTTTTTTATTAAGTAAGATAGTTAGACGGAGGACAGAGAGAAGGGACGTGTATTTTGTTCGCTGAAAATGGGAATAACGTGGATGGAATATTCATCAGTTCGGTGAGACGGTTTAAGTAGAATGGGACTGTGGTGATCAGACAAACGAGTCGTATAAGGAATCGATGAGATTAATAGCGTAAATCTCTTCTCGAGTCAATTTATTCGTCGAATCGAGAGGAAAATATGTTGCATAACGTGATTTTTGTTCAAATTCAAGCCTTTTCCTGTGTATCGCTCACCTTGAAATTGCCATCTGGGATCGCTGCCACGTGAATCGCGTGGTTTGTCAGAATCGTCGAGGTATCAGTGGTGAAGCATACATATTCAAGAGATTCGATGTGGAAATACAGAAAGAAACATAAATTCCTTCGCTGTCGCATTTATTCTAATGATTCTGTATTAATTTCATATTTTTTCCTTCGTACACTTGCTGTACCATTTACGTTCGATTCTTTCGGGAGACTTAAAATTCTACTATAGAACGAAATGAAGTGAATAGTTCATATTAAATAATTGTCACAGTGTCATTTTTACTGTGTAACTAGTTTTCAGTGAATTCGGATACAGGAGAAAAATTAAAGGAATTCAGAAGAATGCATTTAAAACCACTTGCACAGTTCACGAGGCGTAGGACGACATACATCATTCTCGGTCAAGTTAACGTAACCTCCCTGAGGGCAGTGGTTGTTTTACACGTTTCTCACTTCTTTTGAGAATCCTCTCGTTTCTCTTCGCCCGTCTATCCTGCATTTTTCAATGTCTACCGATACGATATGCTTTGAACATACTTTCCTTGGTACCTCTTATCCATCACTGAACAGAGAATTGAATCTGAAAATACAGCTATTTACAAACATCTTATGGAACTTTCTGCGAGAAAATAGCAAGTAGTATCGTACAGATGCACTCTCTAACGAAATATTTGCCCCGATAAATTTCTTACCGTGCAGCTCACTCTGAGGCGAAATAATATTTTTACGAGTAAATAAATAAATTAATTTAGAGGTCTGGGAAAAATAACACTATGGATTTTTCTGCCCTCCTCACCTTTCATTTTGTGAAAATTTCAAAATAATAAATAAACTGGAAATAATAATGAAACATAATACTATGGCTTTTCTGCCCTGAAAATTTCACAAAATTAAAGGGCAGGAGAGCAGAAAGACCATAGTATTATTTTTCATTATTCTTTTCAGTTTTCCTACCTTCTCTCGTAAATTTCCATTGTTGATACTTTAATATTACTAATTCTATAAATTTTTCATTGTTTGTAACATCAACACCTTAAAATCTTTAATGTACCATTGATATCGTTAACTGTGAAAAATTTTAGAATTTCAACTCCCCACATTCCTCATTCCTTCACACTTCAACATCTCAACACTTCGAAAAAGTTTCAATGCCTCTGATACCCTTAATACCACAGCATCTTAACGCTAATTCCTTAATCTCCCTAGACTGTAGCACTTAGTGCAACGCCTGAACGCTTTATTACCTCGATGCATTAACACTTCAACACTTTGCACGAACCGCACAGCTCTATAAAAGGTGTCAACGTCACCGCAACGATAGAGCGTGACGTATGAGATCATAATAGCGGTAAGTAGAACTTGACTCGTAATCAGACACACTCGATCATTCACCAAGGCAAATATGCTCTTACACCATTCGCACTGAACGTCCTCTCGTGCACTGTCCTTTGTGGCATGAAGCAAAGCCGTATAACGTTTGGCCCATCAATGGAACGTAAACATAGCCGTTATCTTGCGGATCAAACCCATCTCGTCAGGATAGTGTGTCATTATTGGTGGATGATGCACATTATTGGCCGACGAAATTTACTCTCGCAGCGAGCCAATAGCAATTGGTTATATCGTGTGTGTAGATGAATGAACTTCAATCTACATTATCGTTCCCCCTTTCTACACCTTGCTTTAGAAAATTCGGTACATTTCTGTTCCCCTTCAGAAATAGTTGGCAATGTATAATTCATAATTTGCAAAAAATCGACCGAATACAAAAATGATAATACAACGTCAGTATGCAATTTAGAAGTGAATAAAGTGAACGTAAATTCGTGACAAATTCTATACCGAAATTTAAATCTTTTTTGTAATTTGCAAAAAATCTACCGATTGCAAAAATGATAATACAACGTCAGTATGCAATTTACGAGTGAATAAAGTGAACATAAATTCGTGGCAAATTTTATACCGAAATTTAAATCGATATTTTAGACACACTTCTGAATCTCATGAAAAAACGTAATTGCCTTCTGGTTCCACAAATTCTTCCCACTTTTTTGGCAGAACGCTATAAAAATTCTTTGGTGTTTGCCTTTCGTCACGAATTAAAGAGATTGACCTGATGCTTTCATCCTACGAAATAGATAAAAAAACGACCGAAAATAGTAGTAATTTCCTGAACTCTCAAGCGGCTCAAACATCGTCGCGACATTCTGTTGCAGAATCGAGGAGCTCCAGCAGCCGGCGAAGCAGCAATTATGATATCGACGTTTCTTCCCGACCTATCTCAACGTTTACACGCGATTCTGAAGCATCGTACAAGGATCGGTAGCCGCTGGTCGTACAAAAGCTCCGGCGAGGGACGTTGATAAGCGTAAAAGCGCGGATCGTACACAGCGATATTTCAATCAAGCTGCCAATAAATTTCATCATGCATCGTCGGACCCTCCTGTTTCCACTCGGTCTGTGACGTCTCTCCTCTCTCTCTCTCTCTCTCAAAAGACGCAATTTTTATGCGCGACGCGGCACACACTCGAGAATCGCGCGTGATCTCGAAACGTGTTTCTCTGCCCACACGTCGCGGAGAACTGTAATCCGAATCGAGGCTTGTGTTCTATCAGACGGTGGAAAATATGACGCTGGAAAAAACCGAGACCACGGGACAATTCGTTAAAGTGAGAACAGAGAGGACTGGTTTCGAGCCGTCCGAACGATGGCGTATCACAAGGAACGTGTTGGTGATCGGTGTCGCTTTTATGGTGAATTTCACCGCGTTTATGGGTGCTACGAATTTACAGAGTTCGATCAACGCCGATGGCTCCTTGGGAACTTTTACTCTGGCCTCCATTTACGGCAGTTTGATATTTAGCAACATCTTTCTGCCGACTCTGATCATAAGGTGAGACGAAGAATTTTTTTTTTTTCGCATTTTAACATTCCTTCTTGCATTCCCAGCGAGTTAACAACGCCGACTATAATCTTGACGTGAGACGAACAATTTTTTTTGCTATTTTTACGTTCATAGTGGCTTTACAACATTTTCCTTCTTCAAACGAGACCTCAAATTTATTATCCTTCACGATATTCTTTGACATTTCTCAACTGTCTTCTCTGTAGCTATAACCAGTGGGCATCGGATTTTTATGAATTTATAGGAAATTTCAAGGCAGAAAATTGCACAGAATGCGTGTAACATGAAAAATATACAAATTATAGAGCTTTTTATAAAACCTGGTAGATGAAGTAATTTTCTATCTAAATTCTACTTTTTTTACTATATTCTCAAAAATTGAAACTTGCACAGAAATCCGCAGTCTAATAATTAGTATACGATTAAAATAAATGTGGGTCTCATAATGCTTGATTAAATATTAAATACACCGTGTGTCGAATTTTTTCAAAATTTCCTCCAATTTTAGCAAACTATAACTACAATTCTTACCAATAAAAGAACATAATCTTATGTCACAAAACGAAACTCAACCTTCCTTCACATTCCTCATTCCTCTCGTAAGTCCTTCCAAAAAAAATTTCGAACTTCACAATCATGAGACACTCTAATTCCACTTTTCAACGAGAGTACAATCAAACACACCCCAAGAACTCGTGAAACACCACTCGCAATAATTCCAAATAAAACAAACTGTCTTCAAGCCACGTTAAGAACGGTTACTTTAAGAAAAGCTCCCATAAATAACCGGATTCCATCGGCGTTTAATAAAGCCCATCACAGGAGGGACGTTAAATCAATAAAGCAGAGCCGAGGAGGAAATTGAAATTGTGGCGTAACTGAAAATTATCGACGAGCTTCTACAAAAAGCTCGCGTCTTTTTTTTCCCTCCTTCGCGTCGGTCGCTCTTTGGGAACAACAAAATATTCTCGAAAAGGTGTGAAACATCGTTTCAACCTGACGCGCTACAATCTCGACGGCCATAATTTCATCTGCACCGAGAGTTACAGCTTGCCGCGTCGTAACTTGCCGCGCTGTATTTAAAACACACCGCGAATCGTCTTTCCACTCTCTCTCAGGTATTCCGCTCACACCTGGCCTGTTTGCACGTCGAAAGGGTCAAGAGTTGAAGTCAAAGAGCGTTTACCTTTTGTATATTTTAATACGCCGCCACTAGACGGTGCCTTTGAGCTCGGTGAGAACTGGAGAAACAGAATGAAGGGAGAAACGAGGGGAAGGAATCTCCGATGATTTCTCCGAGGAGAAGTGCAACATTCGATTGGTTCGATGATCTGGAAGTTTGTCAAATGAATTTCGCGTCGTCGCTTATCGCCCGCAGCGGACGAAATGTCGGTCATTCCTCGTCGAAACTGGCCTCCAGTTACAGCGTCGAGATCGTAAACTTTATTATTGAAGTTTATTGTCCGTGAAATTTTCATCCTTTCGCTTTGGCGTCGCCGTTTCCCAACGGCGTTTCCGGTAATCCAGTTCGTACGTCAAAACTGAATCTATTAGCCTTCGTGCGACGTCTCTTTTTCGGGATAGATCGGACTACAGTGTGGTAACAAGAGAGGAGGATACGGATCTGAAAGATCGTATAAAGTCGAATAATTCGGTGATTACTCGAAATTGATTCCAGACGAACGATCTTGCCGCGGTAAAAAAAACGCAAATGTTTCAAAAGATACTTATTACAGATTCGAACATTCATATTCATTTATTTTCGCCGTCGTAAAGAGGACCGGAGGAGATTCGGCCCGCTTTGCATTAATGCCTAATCTCATCTGAAAGTCTGATGTCCTCGACGAGTATTTATAAGCGCGTAATAAGAGGAAAAGTATAGACGATCTGTATGACAGACACGATCAATCGTCTTTATTAACGTGGAAATAATTTTGATAAGTATTCTTTTTCGCGGAATGTTTAATTTTATGGATTTATGGAAAACACTGTGGATATAGGATACTATACGAGTGATTCACATTCCCTCATTCCAAGAAAACACTTTTCTTTCGACATTCCCTCATTCCAGGAAAACTCTTTCCTTTCCACATTCCTTTATTCCGGGAAAACTCTTTTCTTTCGACATTCCCTTATTCCAGGAAAACTCTTTTCTTTCAACATTCCCTCATTCCAAGAAAACTCTTTTCTTTCAACATTCCCTCATTCCAAGAAAACTCTTTTCTTTCAACATTCACGCATTCCTCTTTTAGATTTTTTTACCAATTATCAGAGTAACTCCTGTGTCATTTAGATTTTGTCTCCGTCGACCCTTCTTCCTGTCACGCCTCATAAATTGCATAGAAAAAGAATGCAAACTCCCTTAGGACGCATTAACGTATCAATTCAATCCAAAAGATTCCCACAAATTTCCCCTCGTAAGATGTCCCTAAAGTAGATCACGGCGTTTCAATTTATACAAAATTTAATCGTCAATAAGTTGCTTAAGCTGTTTTTAACGAGGGCCAATAAAGAGGAAAGAATCGCGGGAAAGTTATTATGGAAAAGTTGCCGAGCGAGCGTAAGTTTACGAAGCGAGCATAAAAACGATCATATCCCACCTTCTTCTATCTCGTTGCAGCTGGTTGGGCTGTAAATGGACCATATCCCTGTCCATCCTGACTTACGTGCCCTTTATGGCGGCACAGTTCTACCCAAAATTCTACACCATGATACCAGCCGGGTTGATGGTAGGAATTGGCGCTGGACCACTTTGGTGTGCCAAGTGCACGTATTTAACGGTTGTAGCGGAAGCTTACGCCACGTTATCAGACGTAGCCGCGGATGTCCTCGTCACGAGATTTTTCGGCGTCTTCTTCATGTTCTATCAGATGGCGCAGGTCTGGGGGAACCTCATATCTTCGGCAGGTGCGTATATCAGCGATATTTCTTTGCCCAAGGGACAAGATATGAGTTCTCGAGTCCCTTGGCTGAGCTTCTCGGTCGAATAAAACCGGACTTGGCAGTTGAAACGAACAGAGAACGTTGTAAAAGGAGATTTAGCTTCTTCGACGATTTGCTCGAGATAAATCAAGGGTGGCTGGAGTCGCTCATGGGTGAAAACGTTAACCCTTTCGCTGCGGCGGATTTCAACGCGTAAAGTGATTAAATTTAAAAAATTTTTTAATTTGCAAAATTTGTTGTTTAGCCGTATCGTTTGAAATTTTGTTTGCTAAATCAAGATGGAAGTGCGCGAAGGATAAAATTAAAGTAGAAGTGCACCAAATGGCGAGCAAATTTTCAAAACGCCTACAGGCGCCAATAGCAACGAAAGGGTTAACAGAGAGAATGATAATTGTTGGAAAATATTATTGGAAAAAATGAGAAGTTTCTTTTTCCCCAAAACAATCGACGATAAGGCGCAGAGACCTGTGGCGTTTGTGTGTTTCACGTGATAACGATGTGATAACGGCGGCCGATCAAATAGCGGCGACAAAGTGGAGAATGCTCACAGGTAGAAACGAAGGATATTTATAGAAAATGTTTCATTGCTCCCGGGGGAAGTCATTAACGACTCTAATCCCTCTTCGTTGCCCCGGAGGAACGCTCTGACATAAAAGCTCGCGGTAGTTACCCCTCCTCCACTCTTTTTCCCCCCTTCCTTCTTTCTCCCGCAATTTCACCGCAGGGGCAAGAGTACGTTCTCCTCGAAAGTTCCGTTACGCGGCGGAAAATAAAAACTTTAATTGCCATGCAATTTGCTACGACGGCGAGCACTGTCGAGAGCGTGTGTTCAAATTCGAAACGGAACTTTCTCGTCAACTTTATCGGCCGAACGGGAACGATTCAATGACGCCTAAGGCATCAAGTGACGAAGATAAAGCGACACGTAACGAGGTAACGTTAGAGGAGCGCTCTTTTTTTCGGGGCAGAGAAAAAAATGGGAGAAGCGTCGTTAATGGGAAAATTAATTAATTAATTAATTAACTGAGTAGTAGCTCCACGGTCTTATTTTACTCTTTGTTAAATCGAGACCGTGAACAGAGTGTGCCACGCCTATTGCCGTAATTCCTCGCTTCCATAAACGTTTGTTTGAGGACGTTTCGAAACAGACTCCGCTAAGCTGAGGATTATCTCGAACCTCCATTTCGCGACGCGTGCGCGCCTAGGAACGCTGCAAATTAATTCCATCGAATTTCACGATCATCTGTCACCGCCTGAACAAACAAACTTTCGACGTGTCCTAGTTCAATGTATTTCTCTTTTTCTTTTTGCACAGTTACCTCGACACGAGGACAGGCGAATTTTTTTCACTTTGAAAATTAGTCGATTTGTTTCACTTCGAAAATTCGTCAATTCGTTTCACTTTGAGATCGCGGAGACCGGGCAAAAGTATTGAAAATTTAACGAACGACGTACTTGTCACTCTACGTGAAACGAACTTTGAAACAAATCCGTCTCAGAATGTTTCGTTTGTATTCGAAACTTGGTGGAATGGTAAATCAGTAGAGGGATAGTCGAAATCGAATTGTAAAAGTTTCGATACAGGGAATACGAGCAACACTTTGTAGACATTCTGTAACGAACCGGGAACTCTAAGTAAATGAAATACTCCCTCCGGCGAGGAATACCGTATTCACACTCGACGATTCATATTCCATAAGTTTCATACTCCAGAAATATAACACTTGGAGGAAATTCCATTGTTCCCGGTAATTTTCTCGCGATCGTAAAACTGCGAAATAAGTGATGAAGTATATGAAAGCAACTTGAGAGATGGCTACTTTTTCCAGCAACGCGTTGCGTGCATTGGTTCGTTCCTCGTGGTCGAGTCCCGTGGGAAACGAGCTTATTCATGAACCTTCTGGCTTGATCCTTGCGAAATTCGAGGATCTTAAAAGTTTGAACGTTTCGACCCAAACGAGAGCACGCGAAATCGCTTTTAGATTTCTAAATGTAACCTTTCAAGCAGAAAACTGCCGAGTAGAAATTTATTCGTGCTCGAAGATAGGTGAAATTAGTTCTTTGTACCAAATGTGTATTATTTTGGAAAATAGAACACTCTTACGTAAAATTAGAAGACGCTGGAACTCGTGCGATTCTTAGTTACCGAATTAAAACTTTGTTAAGTGATAAATGAGTACGCAGTGAGTGTAAAATGAGTATAAAAATCAGTTTTTATTTTATATTTAATAAAATAATTTTTTATGTATTGAAATTCTTATTTTGGAAAATCGAAACTCTTAGGTAAAATTAAAAGACGCTGGAACTCGTACGATTCTTAGTTTCAAGGTTAAACATTTTTTTAAATAAATTTTAAGTAAGTCAGATAAATGTACCAAATCAGCAATTTTTATTAAAATAATTTTTGATGTATTGAAATTCGCGGGAAACTCTCTTTTCAATCTCTCACTTATAATCGACACCTAAATTATCGAAAATATGAAAAAAATGCTAAGTGAAGTTTACACGGCTTGATAAACAGTAATGCATACGGTGATGACAAAGAAAAAGTTTCCTCAAAGTGCAAGACACTTCTTGGCACGTCGACGTCTGATTCAATACTGAAAGGTGAGAAGGAACGCGGTTGACTTTGAGGACACCTTTGTCATCAACACCAGGTACACTTTCTCAAATCATACAACTCGTTCGTTATAGCAGTGGAAATAATTCGTTACAAGTGAAACACCCAGTAAAAACGTCGGTTCAGTAGGAAATCGCGAAGTTACAGCGACTAGTAGTTCGCCAGCGAAAAAGTTGCCAGTCGTTAAGAAGAGTTGCGAGGCACAATGGAAAACGGGTCAGTAATTTTTCCTGTTGGAGAATAGAATTTTTGTAGCAAGATAAAACGCGGCCAGGCCGGTTTGCTTGCAGAAAGCTGCAGGAAACAGGAGGGATTCGACGATCCGATTGGTGGAACCTTCTTGTTTGCTGAAAGGCTGAGCTGTACAGGCCCCTGGCTCGACAGAGTCTTCGTTCATAATCCCGATATCGGAAAACGGCTGTCGTCTACAAATTTTCGTGGCAATTCGCGCGGAAAGGACAGCTCGATAGTCGCGGGAAAGTTTCACGGGTATGTGCTGAGTCGCTGTAACCGATCCTCTCGCAACTTCTACGTTTACGGGACCGCTTAACATCTACTGTCAACGTAGAGAACGGAGTAACGAATTCTTTCCGAACGAACTAACGAGAAAATTTCCGAGCTGCGTAGATGTACGTAGAATTTTTCCGTTAGCTTTTATTTATTCTAATTTTCGCTCGTGATTAATTACTTACTATGCTACTATGCTGAGATATACTTTGGTTCGTCCTCTTTATGCATTACTAGTGAAAATGTGTTGAAGAAATCCTACTTTTTTCACTTCACTACGAGGCAAGTTGATATATTGTCGAGGCATGTTGATGCTCACATTGAATAATCAACCGCAATTATTCTCAATACTCATTTTTATCAATTGAAATATATTTTCTTAATTTTATTGGAATTACAAGTATACTTGAATCATTTTCATTCGCAAGATTGAAATTAACCTTCGAATAGCGGGCGCCGGGTCAACATTGACCCAGCTTTCAAACCTCCCTTTTTTCAACCTGCGTTCGAAATAGAGTCACGACTGTCCAATCCTACTATATTTGTCCAATTTTGAAGAATACAGTGCCTAGTGAGGTAAAAAAATGAGGACAGATTTTAGTATTGGGTCAAGTCTGACCCAGCATGGCGCCATTCGTTGTCCAATGGTTAATGCACATACAATTGGAAGTATGTTCACTGTATTTTATTGCGTCGATTTAACACAGATTTTAAATCTTCCAGAATTTTTGCCGAAATAAATTTCTTACAAGTAAACGCACTTTGTTGGATCATTTTCACAGTTCTTTCTTACGGACACGACGCAGTGCCAACGAACACCACGTTGAACAGTAGCTTCGTGGCGGAAGCTTGCGGTGCCAATTTCTGCGGCGCGACTTCCAACACGAGTGACAGCCCGAAATTGGAACGACCTCCAGAGGAAAGGATTCATCTAATTTCCGGCATCTATCTGTGCTGCATGATAGTGGCCTCTTTAATTGTCGCGTTCGGCGTCGATTCCCTGGCGAGGTAACGTTATCCACTTGTTTGTTATTCACCCCGTGCTCCTAAACGATTTTTCAACGGGACAAAATTCGAAACAATAAGCCCGTGTTTAACCAAGCAACGACCGTATTTCGCGCATAAGGATACCGTAAAGGTGTCGCGGTAATTCACGCAGGAAACCGATGCAACTTGTAGGTAAAGCTTAGAGAAGGTAATTCGTGGGGAATTGGTTTCGTTGCCGTTTGGAAATGTTCAATTCTAAGGTGCAATCGTGTTTCTCGGGGTACGTGCTGTAGATTTGTAATTGTGATGACTGGAGTTCGAAAGTTTGACAAGTTAAACGTTTGAAAGTTTAAATAGCCGCAGTTTTGGAAATTTGAATGTTTGAAATTTTGGAAATTTGAAAATTGGGAAATTCGGAGATTTAAATATTGAGAAATTTAGGGAAGA